AGAGAGTCTTCTTCTGGGGCTGTCTTAGGTAAAAATCCCGCTCCTTCAGTTTTTCCAGCAAAGTCGTTCTTGTTTTGAAACCCGTGACAGTTTTTTTTGTGTTCGTCCTCTTTCCTCCCTCCGTTGTTTTTTTAATTATTTCCTTAAACCATGAAGTGCGCTCTTTGAGAATGCTGCTGTTTGTTATTGCAGAATGAGGACGGCAACAGACGAGGTAGGGCTGCTGGGGTTGGGGGTGGTGGTGGTGGTGAGCACTTAAAGAGAGTTTGTACGGAGACAGTTTGGTTTGTGACTTAACAGACTGTCCTGCTGAACAAAAAAATAATAAGAGTAACATTGTCCTTGGGGGTGGGCGATTTCCGGACTTGGGATATAAGCATCATATAGTTTAGGTTTATATAATAATGAATTAAAGCCCAATCCACCGGTGGATGAGAAAGCCTCCTCCCTACGTCGTGTTGGTCACGAGGGGGTGGGGCGGGGGTGTGGGTAGTTTGGTGCAGTGGGAGTGGGTCAAGGATCGGGTCAAATCCAATGCAGTACCACCGATGTCAGCCGTGTCCGGGAATCGAACTCGGGCGGCTGCGTTCATAGGACAGCTCGCGAAACCGTCGTGCCGTCGGGCCCACCCCCGGTTTTGGTTGAGCAAAAATATATCACGAAGATACAAAAAAATAAATCTTAATTCCAGTCGCTGAAATGTGGAGGACAACGCCACTGTGTTATTGGCCACCTTGTGGACACGTCCAGGGGCTAGCGCCGCGAGGAGAGAGACGCTCGCTGATCTGTAGCGTCAAGAGCTCTGGCTTGCTCTCGCCATCTGTGGTGTACAATGCACTTTCTCGTAACAGAAAAAGTGTCGGCACAAAATATAAGTCTGTACATGGCAGGGAGGGGGGGACGACTGCGCTTACTGTGGTGGTGGGAAGGGGTTGGGGGGGAGAGAAATGGGGGGGGGGGGAGGGGGATAATTCCATGCCCTAGCTGGGATTCCTTCTTTACTCCGGACAAAAAGTGTTAATTCTCTTGGATTTTTGTGAACTGTTCAGATACACTGACACAGCACTCACAAACTGGTCTCTCGCCTTTATATATATTACAGCTGTCAAAATTGCCAATTCTTTCACAAAAATGCGTCCATATTTCAGCGTGGAATTTAATATTAATTTCTTAAAAATGTTTCCTATGGCTCTGACTCGTGTTCGTTTATGCCCAGATTAATTTAACGCTTTGGGTAGCAGCGTCTTCTGTTGAAACATCTGTTTCCAATTATGCCCCATCCTCGGGATCCAAAGAAAGGCTTCACGAAATAGCATGCGATTATAAAATAAGAAAAGGATTGTCAGATCGCTATCTGAGCGGTGCGCGCACAGAAGCCCCAGCCCGTCAGCTCGTTTCCCTATTTTGCGGCTCGGCCTTCTCAAGGCGCGCGCGTGCGATCATCGGCTTTATGAGTCTGTTTGTCCGCACGAAGGTCAGACGCCTCGGGGACCTAACAGGACAGTTAGGCCTCTTAATTCAGTGCTCATAGCCACTCACACGCAAGGCGAAGGGGGAAAGGAGGTGGTGCGTTGCGGGGGGGAAGAGGAGAGAAATTGTAGGTGGTGGTGGTGGGGGGGGGGAGGAAGAAAGGGAAAAAAAGGCAGGCGAGCAAAGCTTCGCTCTGCGGCCGCCAACGCCGACGGAGGTAAAGAAAGGTGCTCTGCGCTCCTCGTGCGGCGAGCGCAGAGCGGAGGCTCGCCGCGGCCGTGGCGACGGCCGAGCCCGAGGTTTTGCGGCCGTAGCTGAGAAACGCGAACGCGCGAAAGAGAGATAGAGAGAGTGGCAGCCCCCGCGTGTCACGGTGTCGCCAGGAGCCGCCGGCGCACACGCTCCTCTCTCTCTCTCTCTGTCCATCTCCTCCGCTCAGCGGAACATGGCGTAGCAGCCGATCGACCGACCGACCGAGGCAAGTTCGCTCAAAGCGGTCCAAGTGTACGAGGAAGGTGGGTCGCGCTGCAAATCGTTTGAAGGTTCGTCGCGGGTGCCAAAAAAGAAAGTCGTGAGCCGCCTTTTTTGCCAGGTTTTTTTTTTGTGTGCGTGCACGCGCGTGCGTTTTGTCGAGCGGCTCACCGCTGATATTTCTCCACCCCGCAGCATTGGCATAGTTTTGTCTGCTTTTATAAACATAAATGTTTATTTTAAATTTCGTTGAATGCATTTAGAATGATATATTTTTTCTCTCTCCCCCCTTTTAAACGTGCAGTTTGCTTTGATTTGTCCATTTTGTTTTAGCCAGACATTCTTTCAGCATTATTCACTTGAATGTACTTTATTTGTTTTCTTGGCTGACCGACCCGTCTGCTTGCATGCCCCCAAAATTTACCGCAGCCTTTTTTTTGTCTCGGGTTTAACCCCCCCCCAACCCACCGCCCCTCTCCTCTTTCTCCCTTCAAATTCCCTGACACGTTTGCTGAACGTCGTCATTCCCGTCTACCTGGGCCCCAAATTGCCGTGATCTGAAGCGGCGCTAGAGCCGCCGCCGCTCGAGACCTCGACGAAAGCTTCGAGGCTTCGAGGGTAGAGGTGTCAGCCTTTGCAGCCCCATGAACTCTTTCGTCATATTTTCTTAACGCTATTACCGCTTTCGGTTTGGTGCGTGCAGTCAATGCTGTGTTTACATTCATTTGTTTTTTTTGTTGCAGCAGAAAATGTTTGATTTGAAAAGGTCATAAAAATGCGCCTATTCTCATTCCCCCCCCCCCCCCCCCCCGATCATCTACCCTGCTGTCTGCTTGTTTAACTACGAGTCAGTATATCGTTCCCTCGATCTGGCGTTCTTTTCCCCCGCGCTCCTCTATTAACCTTCCTGATCTTCGGGTGTTTGTCATGTTAAGTGCTCTAAATTTTGCAAGTTGCTCTTTTTTTTCTCAGTCATCATTTGTGTCCTCAGACTGCCACACTTATCTCAATAAAAGCGATTACCCTTGGTGGCACAGAGACAACGCACACACCCGCAGGCGGGCGGGCGTCTCTCTGCGTACGAACGTACGCACGCACACACGCGCAGACACGCACGGGCACCCTGCTTATCTCATCTCCCATCACATCAGTAAAAAAAAAGGTACTCTCAATCTGCCCGCTGCGTGTTTCTAATACCGGCGGTAATTCCCATTACCGATGTGACACGTTCACGTCGTTCACGGGGAGCGTGCGGCCCTCCCCCGCAGCCCCCCCCCTCCCCCCCCGCTCTTCCCGCCGTGGCGCCCGTTCTCCATCAACTGCTTCATCCCCCCCCCCCCGTCCCCCGTCCGCTCTTTAACCCGCGGTCTCATCCCGGCTGCACGTGTCGCCTCTTCCCCGTGCATTTTGTTTTGCTCCTTCCCCCTTTGCCCCAATCGCGGCTGCCACATGCGACGAGGGCCCCCCTTGGCGGAGACCGCCCGAGTTCGCACGCGGTCGGCGCACGCTCCGCGGTTCCCGCCGCCGGCTTCTGATTGCGCGGCGGCATCGGTCTGATTTGCCGCGCGTCTCTTAGACCGCAGTCCCCCCCCCCCCCGCCCGCCTCTCCCTCACTCCCCCCCTGGGATCCCGCGGACAGATTTAATGAATGATATTTTAATGTACGTCGGTTCGCGTGTTGTGTGCGTGCGCGTGTTTTCTCCGTCGACGCGCGTGCCGTTGAACGATCTGGCTTTAAGCCGCTCGCTTAAAAGCACTTGTACTGCAAAATTATGGGTAGCAACAATTTCATTAGTGATCGACCACTACCGTGTCAAAACGATTAGGACAGATCCCTACAAAATAAGGGTCCCGGCGGACGGGAACTCGCGCGGGCATGCGATATTGAATCGAACATCGTCACCTTGCGGAAACTATTTGTGGAGCGCCGTTGATGAAAGCCACCGTTTGTGTGTTTACCAACGCATTTGCCTGTTTTTTTTTTAAGTTAAACAGATACGAAAATAATAGGTTTTTAAAAAATAGTAATGATGATAAAAGGCCAAAGTTTTTATTCATAGATCATTTTGGATGGAGACCAGAGTTCATCGCACGCTCGGAGGCTTATAAATTAGACAGTAAATTATTTCCGTATTCTGACATTTCAGAAATTAAATACGTACATCCATACAAATTTATTTTAGCAATAAAATGCAGACACCCCAATGATATCCTGGCAAAATACAAATTGTAAGTGATGCGTACGCATACATTTAAGTTTACGTACATTTGTTTGTAGTTTGCTTTGCCAAATCGCGATTATTTCAGCGCCAGAACCGGTTGAACATCAGGAAATTCTGCTGCAGTTTCAGAGGCTAAAATGAACGCATCATTTATCGCTCTCAAAGTTTCCCCGGTCCACAAGTTCCGTTTGAACGCCAAGACACCACCCCCCCCCCAACAAAGGGCCATTTTTTACCTTTTGAAAATATCCGCCGATTAACTTGGACGATAAAAATCACGTGAAGGTCATTTTGCGATGGTGCGCACGCGTGGTGGTGGTGAACCCCCCCCCCCCCGTGATAACCACACGCCACACACGCGGTGAAAAATTAGGCCGATCTCATGGCAGGGCTCGCCGGAATAATTACGTTGTTTCCCCGTCAAATTGATGTGTCCATTAAACGATGACTGATGCAGCCAAAGGGAGACTGTTGGCCGGCGACATAAATCGCCGCGCCTTTATAAGAGGAGCGGGGGGGGGGGGGGAATAAAATAATGTAAAAGGGGAGAAAAAATCACCGCGAGGAGAAATCATAAATAGCAGCCGGGAGTCTGCTGCTGACCCGGGCAAGCATCGCCACGGCAAATTGCTTGACGTCAGGGTCTGGGCTGCGGCGGGGGGGGGGGTCCACGGCATTGGGGGGGGGCGGCGGGGGGGGGGCAGGGAGAGAATGATAAAATAATTGTCAGTAGGGAGACGAACTTGGCATTCAAGGTGAGCGAGTGTTTAGAGGGACGTGGTGTGGTAGTGGCTCGGAGGGGTGGGCGGTCGTGCGGGCAGGCGGGCGGGCGGGCGGGCTCGGGCGGGCTCGGGCGGGCGTGAGCGGTGCACGGGGCGTGCGGAAGGGGAAGGCGGGCAGGTGTTGATCGTCGTGGCGTCTCCTTGGCGAGCGCTCTCCAGCGTCCCGAGCGAGGGGCTCTCCAGCGTCTCGAGCGAGGGGGCTTCGGCGTGCGTCCAGCGGGCTCCGTCGCGACAGCGTTCTCGGCCTCCGGGGCGTGGTGGGGGAAAAAAAAAAAAGTACTCGTCTCTCTTCCCAGCATGCCTCTGTGCTAAATCGGGTAAATTTTTTTCTGTTATAATTACTTTCATCCCTATCCATGCGAATGTGAAAGCCATCCCTTTCTCTGCGCGTGTGCGCGCGCGTGTAGATACGTGGCTGTAGGAGCAAGTGCTGTTCGCGAGAACCTGCATGGTGCTCGCTGACAGCACTTGCTCCTGCAGTCTGTTAGGGCTATACGGGGTGTCTCTGCCTTTGTAGATGCATGTATAGAAGATTTTGATCGTTCCACGTGTGCGTGTGAATTACCGGCGTGCGCGCGTGTGTGTGCTGCTGAGCTGAGCGGATACTTCTCCGATTTAAAAACATCAGTTTGCTGTGGGGTTATTGGAAAGAGGAATGCGAAAGTGCTTAACCTCGTTGAACCCCTTATTAACAAGAGCACCGGGCTCTAGCAAACGGTTAATGTGATTTTGACAATCAACTTCCGTGCCGCAACCGAAGCCTGCGACACTTTTCCGTCTCTTCTTAGGAGCACAACCCAAGGGCGGCTTTCCCCCAGCCGAGGCAAATGCAGAAAGTTCTAGATCACCTACGTGACTTTACCGAATAGAACCAAAGAGTATAAATGCAGGAAGTGTTTTGTAAATGAGTGAGGCGGCTGTTTTTGTGGGCTTCGGTGTTTCGAGGCCACCGTTGAAGGCAAAAGTGTTCCGGAGCAGCGCTGCTGCTTTTCCCGCCGTATCGAAAATCTTCTGTCGGAACGTCGGTTTCCCGTGCAGGGAGATTGTCTTAAAAAAAAATAAGTTATTAAACTGCGAAGCTTATCACGGCACGCGAACTTTCATTCGGAGAAAATAGAATGCCACGAAGTATTTTGCTCCTAAATTTCGTGGCAAAAGAAATAATGATAGCTATACATTCATTGCGGAATCAATGAAGTGAAAGTTCCACGCGAGTGTCGCGTGCAGTCAGTTCATTAATACATTAAAATGTGAAGTTTAAACTATTCACATTATGACAGTTCGCGTACACAACTTGATGGTTTAGAATGTTATTTTGAAAAACACAGGGTGGGGAAGAAGAGCAACTATTGTGGAATTTTGAATGGACGCATCCCGACCGGCACATACATTTGTCTTATTTTCTTTTCACTGTTGATTTCCCCCCTCCCCTACCCCCCCCCCACCAGCACGCTTCTCCGTCTCTCTCCCTTTTCCTAAATGACTGAAAGATAATTAATAGGCTGCTCCGTCAGTTTCAAGGGAACAGAGGCATGATTGGGTGAGTGGTGGGAAGGCTGGCGAATGGAGAGTGGCGTGGTGGGGAGGGGGTGTGGAGTTGGGTGAGGGAGAGGTGTGGTGGTGGGGGTCGATAATAATACAATCGAGAGGAGACCAGAAGCAACCTCCCTCCTTTCGGCTGTGCATGAATATTACCGGCCATTTCATCATCAGTTTCCCTCGCCACGACAGCAGGCCGTTATTTCATAATTAATACGCCTGCAGAGTAATGAGCTCCCGTCATTAGTGGAGTGGCAGGATTTGCTTGGACGTGGGGGCATTTTTTTTACCCCTCCTTCTTCATCTCTTCTTCCCTCTCTCCCTCTCCGTCCCTTTCACTCCGCTGTGCTTCAAGTAATTTACACAGTGCCCCACGCTCTCCTCTCTCTCTCTCTCCCGTAATGGAACTACAGCGCGATAAAAATTAAACACTTTCGTATTTCAAATCTCACACTGTTAAAGATCTTGGCCGTAATGCATTGTTTTAATTCTGAGTCTCCCTGGAAGCGCATCCGTGGCTTTGTGTTTTCTCTTTGGTTGGTGTCCTTTTTGTTTAGTGGTTATCGGTGGGGGGCCCGGGGGGGGGGGGTGACGATGGACCGCCGCCCACCCTCTTTTTTTTTTACAAAATCACGCATTTCCTTTATTACTATTATTAATTTCAATTTTTTTTTTGCCCGGCGTCTTTAATTACAAAGCCGGCACAATTAGCTTTGTTAATTAAGAAAATTATTTGTTTCATACAAGAGGTGCCGCCACTTAGATATGCTAATTGCGGCGTAATTCGAATGAGAGCCCAGCTGACGAAGCCATTACGCTGCGCCGTGAGTGATGGCCCAGCACCGGCGGCGCGCTCCCATTTGCATACGGCGCGGGCTCGGGCGGCGGTAAATTAAACCCCATAATCATCTCTGCCTCTTCTCCTCTCGCCGCTCGTTTAAACGGAAATTATTTCATGTTTGCTGGAGTAGCCTTAATTGGTAGCAAAGGCGCCGCACGACGCCTTGTGTGTGTGTGTGTGAAGGAAGCTGACGAATACTCACGGAAACAAACAGAATTTTTGAATCCAGATTTTTTTTTGCCCACCCTCTCCCTCGGCCCCCCCCCCACCCACCCACCACCATCATCAGCCCGAACCGACGATTCTGTATGGTTAATGTATTTATTTATTTACCCATGATTGTAAATGAACTGCCTTTGCCATTAAATTCATTAATTCTGCATAAGTAAGTGGTGCGGCGCTTGATTTTGATGGCCAGGTTGGGGCGGGGGGGGCGCGCAGACAAAGGGGAACGAGGATGGCGCGCGGGGCGTGCGATGCTCCGACTGCTGGCACGAGGAATATCATTCCGAGGCATTGCTCCAAATTAACGCCGTGTCGGGAGGTGTTAGATTGGCATTGCAAGGAAGGGGCCCAGTGTAGCCATTACGGCGACAATTTGAGCTATCATCGTGGCACAAAAAAAAATGCCGCGTACAAAATTGAGACACGTAAAGGACGGGCGTTTGTTTTCTGAATTTTATTGTGCTATTATTTTACGGTTTGTGATTCATATATTTGCAGCTGCAGCATTTGGGTGCGTGGTTTATATGTGTGTACGGGCAAATGTACGAGCGCGTGCATTATTTGGTTCGCTTACACGTTCAAGTAGTCCTCACATTGCATCGCGAACGCCGCACGTGATTTATTTGGCAACAAACAGCAGCGAATTGACCTTGAGAGCTTTACACTTGAGTAAAAAAAGAAATGCGATTTATATATATGACAAAAAAACATTTAAACAAAAATGCGTTCTGAAAATACCGAAATGCGCGTCGGAATTTTGGGGAAAAAATTATAATTAAAATTTTGCACCAACGCAAATTTTTAGTTACCTGATAAAAACGAGGTGTGTATGAGTGTGTGTGGGGTAGGTGTGAGTGTAACGTTGCTCTCTTATTTTTTAAATCATAAATTAAATTTTCTTTTGACAATTGTGCGGACAAAATAGTTGTTTGTAAAAAGAAAATGCAGCGACAAATATAATTTTTGGGTTTTTTTTATAGCGCGTTGTAAAAGGCAATCGGAGGCGAGCTTTGGCCAATCACTCTTTAAAGAGTCCATTTTACTTCTAGCTAATAATCAAAGCAGCATTACCAATTACATCACAGTTCATTAATTAAGCGCTTAAATGTAAAACTGTCCGGCCAATTTTTTTCCCAGTCGACAATTTAATGCAGGTTGTTAAAACGAGCTCTCTCCCCCCCCCCTTTTCAACTGAAATCCCATTTTCGGCACTTGCATGCGAGCGATATCAGCCATTTGAAGTGCGCGCTTCCGCTAATGAAGGACACTCGCCAGGGCCTAAACGGCGTGCTTTAATAAGGCTGATCTTTACCTTTTTTGCCTGCTGGAAATTGCACAATATCAAAGTGGACTTCCCACGCGCGTAGCGGTTCCCCGAGAAGTTCCCCCCCCTGCCCCCCACCCTGCCCCCCACCCTGCCCCCCACCCTGCCCCCCACCCTGCCCCCCACCCTGCCCCCCACCCTGCCCCCCACCCTGCCCCCCACCCTGCCCCCCCCTAACAATAGCGGGTCACGGCGTGACGCTCGCTCTGGGTCCCGCCGCGCCGCTCGTCGCCGTCTCTACCCCGCGCGCTCGCGCAAAATAGCAGTTAATTCTGCTTAGGGCTGAATGCTAATTAGATAGCAAATTAATTACACTTTCAGACAGCTTAAAGGCTTTTTGCATCATTGGGCAAATTACGGGCTGTTGACTAATCAGCGTTGTAGTGTGTTTGTCGCCAAATGTTTTCAGATTTTTTTTCTTTTATTTTTTTTCCTCCCAAACAAGCCGTACTTATGTGTGGGAGTTCAGTGGAATCACAATAATAATAATAAAAGAGCTTATAAACAGTTTTTTTGTAAAAATTTAAACAGCTGTGCAGTGTTATCAAAGAGACTCGTTTAATAATGAAAATAATGGTTTATGTTGTTGGAATAAAATTACGACGAGTTTTACATTTGTCACGAGCCGCGATTAGCATCGAGCCTGATTTATAAAGATGTGCACGCAGTAAATAAAACTTGTAAAAGGCTTATACAAAATTTATGCAACGCTTATTATTTCTTAAGTTGTTTTAAATGAGACACAATTAAATAAATTCACGTTTTTTTCCGTATTTTTAGCATCAGTATTATTGCTCACGTGAGGCGCTCTGCGCAATAAATAACGTCGCTTAATTGAAACGCTTTTTTTTCCCCCCCTTTCTCTCTTTCCGGAATTGCACGGCGGCGGCTGTGGTGGCTGCGTTGCCGTTGTCTCAACTGGATTGGAGGAAAGATAATTCGCGAGACATTCGCCACGTAAGTGGCTCCCCACCCCCCCCCGATCCCGGCAACGTCGAAGTGGCAAGACGATCCGAACGCCCGAAACCTCCCTCGATTGATAGTCTCCCCCCCCCACCGCCCACATTACGCGAGTTAAAATAACTTAATTTGCACGCGGGTCAATTTGATCACGAAGTAAGCCTGAAATATAGACGCGGACTTCGCCGGCCGTAAAGAAAATAAAAGCCGAGGTAATATCACGGCGCCTCCTGTATGTACTGCCGAGCCTCTCAAAAAGGTAGGAGTAAGTAATTTTTTTTTCAGGGGAAATGCACTATTTTTCTTCTTGACCGATTTGCCTCCGTAGTGGCCTAATTGGGTCCATTCATCTTGTCGGAGAAGCTCCGTGCGTCTCGCGCGGGTCCCCGACGGGAGGCGGGTTGGGGACTAATATTCGGCCTTATTTA